AGGCAGGCTCAGTGAGCCATGAGCGAGGCCACTCGGGACTACTACCGAAGCGACGACGGGTCCTGCAGAGAAGGTAGGGAGAAGCGGCGTAGCGTTTGTAGGTACGCTGCATTCGATTTACTAACAGCGTGCTTGCATGCTAAGTCTATTTATTTCAGGTGGTGAGTTTTCAATTTTGTATTAATGCTTTTCTTTCTTAGATAAATGTTTACCTGTACTTCTATAAACTTGCACACGTCACGTAAGCCAGTTGTAATTAATTTCGATATCATTTTCGTGTTTGTCGCATTTCCATAAAATATACTTTCCGATCTCATGAACTTATCACGGATTCGTTCGTAGACAACTTATTTCATATGCTCGTTAATTTAAGATCTATGTCACCGTTTCCTTATGCATTACTCGATTTCTTTTCTTGGTTATCTTTCTCTCAAGTGATTCGCTGTTGTTTGATATCCCCGGTGTGGCTGCGCTTGATGTGCATGTTGACAAGGTGCCTACCTGTCTATTACCCACTACCTCGTCCATACTGGCTCCAGCAGACAGTTGGTCGTTGCTGGAGGGGACGGGGTGCACGGTCCTTGTGGCCGTACTAGGCTCAAAGAGCGGTTCCATGCACTCAGTGTGGAGCGGACTACGGTCCAGCCACCGCCTTGTGTGCGCTTGATTCCCCAACTACAGCGGGATAGTGTTTGCCTGTGAAGGAGTGTGGGCCGGCTCCGTTGATGCAACGTGACTCCCATCCACATGCCTCCCGGTCTTATTCCTTCGGGTTTACATTGGATATGGGGTGTGTGGATGGAGCTGTGGGTGGTGCAGCGCAAGCCACCCATGGTCCCTCTGTAGGCGCAGGCGTTCTTTGGCTGGCCACAGTGGCAGGCAAATCCGAAACCGGATGCCGCCATATATATATATATATATATATATATATATATATATATATTCACTGGCAAGTACCTGCTCCAGAAACGTTCTAGGTGCTCGAGGACCTACCGTGCGGCTCCATCAACTAGCATCTATGGTAGATACCGAGAGTCTAGAAATAGGTGTAAGCGATACTTAGGGAAAGCTCGGCTGTTGTACGAAAAGGAATTGGCTGAAGGAGCTTCGGAAAATCCGAAGTTCTTCGCTTAGGTTAAGAGATGCTGTGGTTCAAATTCGGTGATCCCAACTTAGATGCGGGCCGATGGGACTCATGCGTATGTGGACTCAGATAAGGCTCGTGTACTTGGGGAGCAGTATGCAGGGGCTTTTGTACGTGAGGCCGCGTTGACTAGCGTTGAACTTGTCCCCAGAATACCTGAGGGTTCTTATTTAGCTGAGTTACTGTGATGGAAACTCAATTCCTTGAACTGCTGTAAGGACTGAACCCTTCCAAAGCAGCTGGACCTGATTCAACTCACCCGAAGCTTCTGCATGAGTTGGCGGTGGAACTAAGTGGACCGCTGACGATGGTGTTTCAGAAGTCACTTGGCATCTGTACATTACCTTCTGAATGGAAGGAGGCTGTCATCTGTCTTATCTTCAAAAATGGCGAGAGAAGTCTGTCAGCCAATTGTAGGCCAGTTAGTCTGACTAGCGTCGTGGTCAAACTGCTTGAAAAGCTGGTGAGAGATTCGTTGGAATGTCACCTGAATAGATTTAATCTACTCAGTAGTGCACAACGCGGATTCCGGAAGGGGTTTTCTTGTCCGACGAATTTGTTGGTTGCTCTTGAAGCTTGGGTCGAGGCAATGAACAATGACCACGTAGTGGATGTGCTTTTCGTAGACTTCTCGAAAGCATTTGGTAACGTGCCCCACTTGGGGCTATCACAAAAACTGAGGTCCTACTGCGTATCTGGCCGCGCCCTTCACTGTGTATCTGCGTGCTTGTAGGGAAAAGAGCAGTGTGTACGTGCGGCAGGCAGGCGGCCCTTACCGGTGTCCCACAGGGCTCGGTACTTGGACGGATGCTGTTCTCCAACTACGTAAACGATTTCCCTGGAGAGCTTGGGGTATCATCTCTATTGTTTGCTGATGACCTTAAGCTATGGAATGTTGTAAATGTTCCTGGGGGTTCTGAGGCCATACAGCATGCCCTGGACAGACTCTGGGACTGGTCTGCTTTGTGGCTACTGCCCATTAATCAGGCTAAGTGTTCCGTCCTTCGTATAGGAACAACTTTCCCGCCTTCGAGCTACGTGCTCGGTGGGGTTGAACTCCCCCTCGTCTCCAACCAGGTAGACCTAGGCGTCGTCCATTCCTCCTCTTTGCATTCTGATGACAACTGGAAAAAGCCGCTAGTAGGGGTTTCAGAATGTTGTGGTTAATACGCCATTCTTTCGGGGTCTTAACTGCCGACATATTTGTGAAGCTGTTCTCAGCATTCGTTCGGCCCCATCTGGCCCAGTAGTGTGCGCGCGTTCCAGCATCCAAAGTTGAGTGCTTTGCGCGCAGGCATACGATTGCGTTGGTAGGCAATGGCGCTGGTGTTGTTGGTTGTGCTTCGGAGGTTAGCTTGAGGGACTCCACCCGGAGCCTCTGGCTCAAAAGCCTTACCCACAAGGCAGTGGGGAACAGATCGAGCTCGGGAATGTGATTGCAGAGACAGATTGGGATCTGCTTGAGATCCGTCGCACGCAGCCTTGGAGGTACTGGAACGATTCATATATGTTTTGCGACCGTAGTAGGATACGCACCTGCGACCACGGCCAGACGCAGGTGGGTTTTGGCGGGTTTGCACCAATTTGACCAGAGGCTGCCTCGCTTGAGGTGGGCAGTAGCGAACCATTGAACACCCGGAGGTGTCCTCCCACCGTCAGAGACAATGCGTGGCGCTCGTGCTCTACGCCAATCAAGTTGTGAGCTTATAACCCGTAGACCTGTTGTTTCCCATGGCTAGGTTTTACAGGAAGAAGGCCGTCGACCACTGCCTAACCTCCGAAGAGGATGGACTAGGATACTGGCAGGGCTCCGACACCTGACAGGAGAACGACTCGGGTCCTCAGGGAAGGCCTTCAATAAAATGTGCACCCGCAAGGCAGCGGGTCTAGCACATGATCAATTCAGTGACTGATGCAGATTGGTGTCCTGGATGTTAGCAGGGCGAAGAACGTAACCCAACTGCCACATGGCGGTCGCCACGAGGAGGCGTCCACGACATGAGTCCATGGCACAACAGTAGCAGCAGTGGGTAGACTAACTTTCATGATCTAGCCACCACCAACCTCAGCGCAACATAGGCTCTCCTGTCTATATATATATATATATATATATATATATATATATATATATATATATATATATATGGTCGGCGGCATCCGGTTTCCGATTTGCCTGTCACTGTGGCCAGCCACAGGACGCCTGCGCCTACAGAGGGACCATGGGTGGCTTGCGCTGCACCACCCACAGCTCCAGCACATACCCCATATCCAGTGTAAACCCGAAGGAATAAGACCAGGAGGCATGTGGATGGGAGCCACGTTTCATCAACGGAGCCGGCCCACACTCCTTCACAGGCAAACACAAGCACGCTGTATTTGGGGATCAAGCGCACACAAGGCGGTGGCTGGACCGTAGTCCGCTCCACACTGAGTGCATGGAACCGCTCTTTGAGCCTAGAACGGCCACAAGGACCGTGCACCCCGTCCCGTCCAGCAACGACCAACTGTCTCCTAGAGCCGGTATGAACGAGGTAGTGGGTATTAGACAGGTAGGCACCTTGTCAACATGCACATCAAGCGCAGCCACAGCGGGGATATCAAGCAACAGCCATTCACTTTAAACGACAAGCTGAAATAAAATAAATCCAATAATCCATACAGATACGGTGGCGTAACTCTTCCATAAATTACCGTACGAAGTAAATTTGTTAGCAACGAATCCGCGATAAGTAAGAAATGTCTACAAGTTACCTAAAAATGCTACAAACGCAACAAAATTACCGAAGATAAACGCAATTAGCGTAAGTGACGTGCCAGCTAATAGAAGATTATTCAGATAGGCAAAACTAACCAAAGGAAGTGGAATGAAATTTATGCAGCTTAAAGAGACCTAGTTTAAGTGTAAGTTGGTTTAGCCCAACTGCGGTGAAGAAGCATCAAGAATGCAACATCATCCTCAGCATTGGGCACATATATATATATATATATATATGTATATATGATCTATACAGTAACACCGTCCTTATCACGGCGTTATACACTTCACCCTTCACTTACTAGTTGAAATCCCTCCGTCCCCATAAATGGCAGACCCTCTGAATTGCCACACGGGTCTTGAACTGTCTACTTACCAAACCGTATGTCGGCATGTTGAGAGATATGCCACCTATTTATTTAGTTATATATGCACTTGTCACGGAGTTCTGTGTGCTGAACGCCGTGATTTTCGCTATGTTGACTGCCGTAAAAACTCTTCTCCCTGAATGTCTGATTTTTACGCATCTACAGCGTACCGGTATACTGCTGATGTATTTCTGTTTTTCGTTCATCCTCATCGCTTCCATCTTCCGGTCTTGTCTCTCTGCTGTCGCATAGTTTGGGAGCTGTTTTTATCCGACATTTGTAGACTCACTGAAATTTATTATATCTGCTTTCACCAGTTTTTAAGTTTCTGACTCTCCAGTCTTTTGTACACTTTGCATACGTTGACACATATGTTTGACGCATGGTGCATTTCACTTTATTTTGTTTTAGGGAGTACAATGCGCCCGGTCATTTTCATTCGCCCCATATGTTTACCAAAGACTACGCACTACATGTAGGTTTTTCCCAACTGATAACTCTCTGTAGTCCACTTTGGCAACGTTATATCGAGTACCCCAAGTTTACTCCGGGGGACCCACAAATCCGATGCTTTTTGCCACCCTTCTGGATGAAAATGCTGTATCCAGGACCAATGAATCCACCCGATCACGTAGTTTTTAAAGTGCATCCTCAGTGAGATATTGAAGCTGCTCTTACCTGTTTCTCAGAATGACTACTGGAGATGTCCAACAATATTTGGAGAAACTATACAATGTACCCGTACTTCACGTTCGACTCAAGATGGTTTATCACGATTGTGGGTGCTTGTTACTTTCTGATTGTGTTCTCCCCAGTAGAGCCAATCGACCAGCCAACTCTTCAGCGCCATCGTCGATTGGCCGATCCTTTCAACATGCCTCCTAGGCCAGAACGATACGAAAAATTGGCCTACGTGCGTCTGGTAAGTTGTTTGTCTTATACAGTTACAGTTATACAGTTCCACAATTTTCTACATAATGCTCTCGCCTTATCTAAGCCTTTATGTTACTCTAGCCCTTCTGGGCACCTGGTGTTGCGTTAAATCGTCCTATAGTTCCCATACGACGAATACTACTCGCCAGCATTCATCGGTCCCAGGCTGGTCATCACTGCCTAGTGCTCATGCTTCAAGCCACATTAAGCCAACAATACGTTTTATGCATATATGAAGTGTGAATATTCATCTACAACGCCAAAGGCGCAGATAAAATTAAAGTATAACAAAGGAATATGGTACATCAGCAATTTGAAAGCGTGACAGAGGTGATATCCTCGGTTCAGTTTGTCGATAAATTCTTGTTTTACTAAATTTTGATCCCTCAAAAGCGGCACAGATTGATAACAACTGACGTACCGTAAGCCTATACGCGAGCATAAATGACTTTGTAAGTTTGTCTGGGCGAAGCAGTTGCGATACATTCCGACAATGCACTATGAAGGGGGTGACTGACATCAGTGAGTGTTTTGGACGCCAGTTTTTCTCAGGAGTGCACGTGATTAAACACAATGATGTCATTAAACTCCAATATTGAAATGCCATTACATCGAACAACCTGCTTCAGTGACCTCTGGATCGCTTTGGATTGCCTGTTTAAAAGTTCAAAAAACATTGCAGGTGAGCGGTATGTCTGGTGCGGTATTATGAAAGCAGTGATAAACCCTAAGATCAAATAAGGAGGCACGGATGAAGACTAATCGGGAAGCATAGAACCTTAGCCTCCTGACTAGTGATGCGACCACGTGAGATCACCACTTGTTGTAACCAGATATTTTGTTGATTCAGACTGACACCAGCAATATAAATGTGCGGGATGTGCGTGAGGAGCTACCGATGAGGATTTTCCTTGGATAACGATAAAAGAACATCTTTTCACTTCGACGCATTCAGTGAAGGATAACGGGATTTAGACCACGCTGATTGTTCAAGTAGTATTATCATTTGGCCGATGAATCTGTGGTGGGATTGTGTGCACCAACAATCGCGTCACCAGCGCACTTTAGCAGGATGCATTCCTTTGGAACGGGAATTAAGCTAATGTTGATGAAAAATTGGACTGGGGACAAAATAGCTCCCTGAAGGACACCGGAATTTGTGATGACTGAGGAAAATTTTTTCCCCCAAACCTGCTAAACTGTGTACGTTTGGCAAAGTAGTCTGTCAAAAGAAGTGCAATTGAAGTTTGAACTTCGGAAACGAGCAGATCGTGTAACAGTAGTTCACGGTTTACGCAGCCGAACGCATTGCTGTAATCTAGGGAGCAGATACGCGTGGGTTTGTGTTTGCTATCCAGTGATGATAGCTAATGCGTCTAAAGTGGATTTTGAACTACGGTAGATGAACCACTTGAGTGGGTTTTTGCTAACATCCTCTCGAAACTAATTCGCTCAAACGTCTACCAAGCCACCGACGTACAAGCAATAGGCGGATATTTATAGGTTCCATTCCTAGGTACAGGTGCAATGCTGGCTATCTTGTGCTGCTACAAGCACATGGTGTACAGTACAGAAATAGATTATGCTAAGACATTAGCACATTCTTTGAGGACTATAGTAGATAGCCCGTCCGGACTGGCCACTTTGCACGACTGTATCCTTATTAATTCCTTTTGTACCGTTACGCTATCTATGGGGGTGAAGATTTTGGGGATAGTTATGTCTGAGCAGATGGTAAGTGTAAGGCTGGATCGTTTTTCTGACCACAAAGATTGCGAGAGCAGAGTGTATGACGTTTCAGACGATTCCATCCTGGTTCTTCTTCATTTCCCATATTTATGGGCAATTATTTTTTTTCAAATATGGTCTGAACATACATGTGGTAAGGCCGCACATTTCATTTTCTCTGTCAGTCGACAAAGACTTGACCGTAGCAACACCTTTGCACTTGAAAGATTTTTCTTTAAGTCTGCCTAGTCTTTTAAGAAACAGTGATGAAAACCTGTCTGCGCGATGAAACTAGTTGCCGAAGGATAACAGATATCGAAATAGAAGTCCAAGTAGCTACTTTACTGGTTACAATGTCGATGCTTCATGGTTGTAAAATAGATAGTCAGTAGAAGCAATAGTTTTGCGTAGTATCTCGATATTGTACGGAAGGCATTGTCTTTACGTTAACTTGCGTTCTTTGAAGTGGATGATATCCTTGTGATTCGTTATACCATAGATAATGAGGGACAGCTTTATGGTGGCATGGTCTGAGCTTACAAGCGGTGCCCTGTTACAGACAGAAAATCTTTCAATTCAAGCTGTTTTATTCACCCGTGTGGGGGCATTTTCAGCAATTTACTCTAAGACTGCGGACACACGACAACTTAGAATCGGTGGGAAAATGATGCGATTTGACAAGAAAAACAAAATGAATTCGTTCTCAAGCTTGCAGACGTCCTAGCAAATGATGTATCATCGCGTTTGAGTCGAGTAACAAGCGAGACAGATAAGATAGGATGAAGTTGCGACGTGTAGAGCTACAAGAAAATAGGACTAAGTTTCGACCGCGTGGAAGATATGGATGTCGAACTAGCTAAACCGACGTGTAGCGAGTGAGCTAATATAAATAATAATAATAATGTGTCAGCTGTACGCCGTAACGGCGCTTCGCTGCCGCGCGACCATCACCAGTCGCGCGCGGGCTGAGTATACCGCGAGGACGCCCACCCCTACGCGGATTCGAACCGGTGACCTTATGGTTGCAAAGCAAACGTGCAGACCACTCGGCCACCGGCCGAGCATGCATCAAAATGTTTACTAACCAATGGGGGATTCTCTGCTTCCTCCAGATCATCGCGAACTAAATATTAGTGATTTCGCAAGACATGTATAATCCTTTTGAACCAGTCCGGCGCAAATAACAAGGGAACAGTACAGCCAAGAGGGGAGAATACATATGTTTACAAACCTTAGCATTGGAGCACGTGGTACGGAGAGCATTTTGTGCCAAAGGGGATATAAGGACACTCCTCTGACTTTTTTACAAGTTTCAAGAATATATGTCGATTAGGATAAATTCTATGACAGAAAAAACGAGATACTTCACGGATTAGGAACGAGGGATGCTTTGATCAGTCACACATAGAGAAGTAGAGGCGTTTAAAAAGAGCGCAATCTGTCGGGACGGAGAAAAGAGGATGTGATATTGTTAGAACCCAAGGGGCAGGCGGTAATTGTTTATTGCTAAAGTGGCTTACACTAGGTATGTTCGTCCATACCTTGGAGGTGTCCGCTCGTCTGCGTGATCTCCATGGAGTGTTCCCCAACTGGTGCTTGCCTCTGTGTTCACTCCTCGTGCGCATGGAACTGTAATCTTGATGTCATCTTCAACTTTGCGGAAGTCGGCAGGGCTCGCTGTTGGTGTGTCATCTTGCACCACCACACTACTTATGCCCGGCGCAGTAGTATCTACCTTTAATCCATCACACTCCTCCCCCTCCAAAGAACTCGCATCAGCTGCCTTCCGTCGGAGTCTTTCTGACCGCGGGGATGTTCACTGTATGAGCGTGTTTCCTCCTCCAATTCGTACCACTTCCTCGTCTCGCCGGCATTCACCCTCCGCGATTCACCTTGCCGAGCGATTGTATACACTGGGCCTCGCCGGTCGACTACCTCGTACGGTCCTTTCCACTTCGCTAGGAGTTTCCTCTCCCCTGGACCGCAAGTGGGATAGCGTTGATGGTCCCTGTACTTCACTTTCGAACCAATCTGAAACTCGATATTCCTTCCACCTTTGCTGGTCTGGAACTTCGCCATCCTCCGCGCCTGAGTCGCCTGTAGGTTGCGGTTGGCGGTCTTCCGGTTATTCCGTGTCTCCTCAAGAGATATACGGCAAGTTGGCCACATTCCAATCTCTAGGTCCACAGGTAGACGAGGTTATCGACCGTACATCAAATGGAATGATGATTTCTTTGTGGAAGCCTGTTTGGTTGCTCGATGGGCCAACAACAGTAGCGGCAACGTTTCCTCCTAGTCTCCACCTTTTGCTGCCATCCACTCCTTGATTGTTCTATTGTTACGTTCCGTCAGGCCATTTGTTTGCGGGTGGTATGGGGTGGTGCGCAATTTCTTAATGCCAAGTTTCTCCAAACAGTTCCGGAATTCTGCACTCTCGAAGCACGGCCCTTGGTCCCTTAATATGGTCTTTGGGATTCCGTGAGCCGCTACCAAGTGATTCATGACAGCATGGGTAACGGTGCTAGCCCGTTGATCCGGGATTCCTGTCGCCTCAATCCATCGCGTGAAGTGCTCCGTCATCAATAAAATATATTGGTTGCCACGCCTGGTCAATGGAAACGGCCCCATCACGTCGACCGACCAAAGTTCACCAATTTCCGAGACCGGGATCGTCATCATTTGCTGCTGCATTCCTCGGCAATCCGTTTTCATGAGCTGACATTGTCTGCACGAATGCACGCACTTCTCAACGTCCCTTTTCATCCCCGGTCAATACGCGCGTTGTTTCAGCAGATCGTAGGTCCTGGAACAACCTGTGTGCGCCATCTCGTGACAAGAAACTACCAGATTCCGTCTTAGTTTCATTGGGATGACTGGCACCGAAGGGTTGCTACCTCCTGGTATCCACATCAAGATCCCTGCTTCGTTCACTTGCAGCTTTCTCAGGTCTTTTGCAAACGGTCCCAGCTGCTTAAGTTGGTTTTTGTTGAAGTTTGTCTGACCAGCTAATCGCGCGGTGATCAACTTGCACAGGAGTTTGACACTACGTTGCTCAGTTGCCAACCGTTCTGGATCCTGCTCGCACAGTATACCGTTGATACCGAAAGCTACGCCCGGCAGGTCATCATCATCTATCATGCGTGACAAGAAATCCGCCGTTTGATTTTCCCTCCCCGGTACGTGTTTTATCGTGAAGTCATACTCTTGTAGGCGCAATGCCCATCTCGCCAGCTTTCCTCTGGGGTCTTTGGCAGACTTAAT